TCATTCATTTACTCATCCATCCCTTCATCTATCTATTTGTCATTCGTATTTATTCATCTATTTATTCATTCACTCACTGACTCATTTATCGATTCATACATCCATTCATTCATTTATTTATTCATCATTCATACATCCATTCATGCAATCATTTATTTATTCATTCATTCATATTTTCATTCATTTAATATTCATTCACCATTCATTCATTCATTCTTACATTCATTTAATTATTCGTTCATTCATTATTTATTCATTCATTTATTTTTACATTTATTCACTCAATCATTCATTTATGCATTCATTTAAACATACATTTATTCACTAATTTATTCATTCATCCATCCATTCATTCACTCATTCATTTACTAATTCATTCATCCATTTATTTATACATTCGTTCACTCATTCATTCTCTCATCCATTCATTTATTTATTCATTGGTACATTCATTTATCCATTCAGTATTTTATTCATTCATTCATCCAGTCATTCATTCATCCATACATTCACTCACTCACTCACTCACTCATTCATTCACTCATTCATCCATTCATCCACCCATTCAGTTGTCATTCTTCTTTATTCGTCCTTACATTCATTCATTCATCCATCCATACATTCATCTGTCATTCTGATTTATTCGTCCATTTATTCATTCACTTATTTACTCATTCATCCATTCATTCATTCATAATTTGTGTAGTTATTCATTTATTCATCATTCATTCATTAATTCATTTATTATTCATTCATTCATTCACTCATTTATTTATTCATTCATTCATCCATCCATTCATTTGTTTATTAACTTATTCATTCACTAATTTATTAATTAGTTAATTAATTCATCCATTCATTCATTCACTCACTCACTCACTCACTCACTCACTCAATAATTAATTCATTTCTTCATTCATTCATTCATTCATTGATTGATTTAGTTATAGATCAACAGTTTTTCGCAGTTTCTCGGTTTTTGTTGAATTTTCCCTCGTTTGTCGTTTTCATTAAAGGTCTGTAGGAAAACGTGTGACGGATTCTTTGTTGTTATCAAATATTGATCATGTTAACGGACTGGACTGTGGAGGATGATGGAAACCCTGGAACATGGACTCTGAAATGAAGCGGATCATAATCACTGATTCATCTGAACCTGAAATCACTTCCTGTTTTTTAAAAATCTGACTCTTTGTTTGTGATTCCAGTTTGACCGAGTTAATCCAGACCTCTGATTGGTCAGATCAATAATCAATAATGTCATTAATCCAGACCTCTGATTGGTCAGATCAATAATCAATAATGTCATTAATCCAGACCTCTGATTGGTCAGATCGGACAATTATCAATAATGTCATTAATCCAGACCTCTGATTGGTCAGATCAATAATCAATAATGTCATTAATCCAGACCTCTGATTGGTCAGATCAGTAATCAATAATGTCATTAATCCAGACCTCTGATTGGTCAGATCAATAATCAATAATGTCATAATTACAGAGGGGACATTATATCTCCATTGATCGTTCTCTCTCTCTCTCTTTGTTTTCAGATAAGGACTCTCGCCCTTTCTGTTCTCTTAATCCAGACTCTCCGAAGTGCAGGTGTAAAGACTGTGAAGGTAACCCAACAACTGTCCTGCAGGGGGCGCTCTAAAGACTTCTGTGAGTCCTGATAGAAACAGCAGAAATCAATAACAGTGATCAATAATCATTTTGGTTTTTTTCCTCCAGCTGTCGTAAAAGCAACGTTGGAGCCGAACCCACCGAGAACTACACAGACTACACAAAATACACAAACTACAGGAACTACACAAACTACACAAACTACAGGAACTACACAAACTACAGGAACTACACAGACTACACAAACTACAGGAACTACAGGAACTACACAAACTACAGGAACTACACAAACTACAGGAACTACACAAACTACACAAACTACACAAACTACAGGAACTACACAAACTACACAAACTACACAAACTACAGGAACTACACAAACTACACAAACTACACAAACTACAGGAACTACACAAACTACACAAACTACACAAACTACAGGAACTACACAAACTACACAAACTACACAAACTACAGGAACTACAACTCCCATCTCAACCACGACTCCACCTACAGCTCTGTCGACCGCTTCAGTTCCTGTTGTTCCTTCGACTCCATCAGCTGATCCTCCAGTTTCTGCTCTGACTCCACCCACCACCGAGTTTACTCCAACAGCTGTGAGGACTGATACGAGTTCTACTCCATCAGCACCGCCCACCACCTGCAGGACTCAGCCAACACACACACTTTTAACTACACACAAAACTACGACTTCTCCGTACACGACCACGAGTTCGACCACGAGACCGCCGCCGACCTCCACCCAGTTTACAACGACAGTGAACAACAGAATCAATCAGGAAGTGACGCACCGTCAGAGAGGAGACGTCCACAGTGAGGACACACACACACACACACACACAGACACACACAC